TAAGACCCCCCACCAGGACCCAGGCTCTGAGGCTGGGAGTAAGGAGCTGGTCCATGTGGGTTGCCCCAGGCCTCTATAGGACACCAGTGTGTTACTCTTCCTATTATTATGAGATGTCCTTGTAAAGTGGGAGTTTAGTGCCAATGGCCTCAACTGTTTAGAACAAAGCCCAGCCCTAGGTAGTAAGAAAATGTTTCTGATGATCCAAAGTAGATGTTACTAAATCTAGGCAGCAAAAGAAAATAAAAGATGAATAGACCCACTAGACCTCTCAGGCTTACTTACTCTTTACTCACAGTTTTAATGACTTAGTTGAATGAATAAATGGGGAACTATTTTCTTCATCCACAACTGATGAGAAATAGCAAAATAATACTGACGCTGGATGACGATGATGATGGTGATAATGGTAAAAGAGAGGAAGTTATTGGTACATGGAGTTGTAGCGATAACTCAAATGCTTATGAAAGGCCTGACAGCTAACACCATGCAGCAAGAGAAGAAGCGGAAAAATGGCACACACACAATTTAAAAACAGCCATAGCTCCCTGGGTCCATTTAGGATAGAAAAACAGCTGGAGACACTTAAGGAATTTTGGGATTGTCATTGGATTTTGTAAAGTGATCATAGGTCACTGGGTGGTTGTTAAATTCGGTTTGGTCCCGGCAGGAAAATGTGTGTCCTCTATTTTAAGAGTTTATCACAGAATTGGTTAAACATTCTCATGACACCTAAAAAGTTTGCCTTATTCTAGAGGGTTTTCCTGTAGGAAACTGAATTTTAAAGATGGTGACAGAAAAGAAGGTAGATTTTAGTTGAAAGCACAGGTGCTGGAGCCAGACCACCTGGGTTTAAACCACTCGCTGTGTGACCTTGGGCAACATACTTAGTGTCGTTGTGCCTCACTTTGCTCCTCAGTAATATGGTGATGATAAACATACCTAGCACACGGCAGGCAGTATGTAAGTGTTAGCTGTGCTAAAGGCTAACAGTCAAGTGACAGAGCGAGGAAGCTTCCAGAGGCTTCAAACTCGGTGGTGTAACAGAGCCTACACTCTTCACTGTACCTTTCTCCCACATACCATTCAATTTTTAAAAGCGTTTAAGTGTGAAATATTCATAGGAAAAAAGTACACAGAGTTAATACCACTCATGGATTCACCACAAAGCAAATGACCACAGCTAAGGAGGACCTGTCAGTGCCTCAGAAACCCCTCATGCCCCACAATCTTCCTCGTCCCCAGCAGAGTGACTTCTGTGGTAAGCCCTTCCTTCCTTCCTTCATAGTTTGACCATTTCAGCATGCGTTTCCCAAACACTAAGATTTCATTTTGGCTGGTTTTGAAATTTCATATAAGTGAAATCAAACAGTATGAAGTCTTACATCTGGCTTTGACTTAACATTACATGTGTGAGACTCATCCACTTAGTTCCATGCAGCAATAAATTGTTCATTTCCATTGCTGTATATTATCTGGCCAATTTTCACTCTAGAAATGGTGATTTCATAATAGTATTTCATTATATGATATGAGTGTTTGACAGTTAAGACTCCCTTTCTACTAATGGAAGTGGACATCCGAGCTGTTTCTAGGGCTGTGCTGCTCTAGGCATTCTCCTGGTGAATGTATGTACACATTTCTCCTGGGTATATCCCTGGTAGTGGACATTTATATATCTCTTTCCATTCTGGTTTGCCATTTCACTCTCTTAAAAGTGTCTTTTTCTTTATGATTAATGTGACTTGTATCCTGTTTAAGAAATCTTTTCCTACCCTGAGTTTACAAATATTTGCCTATATTGTCTTCTAGAAGTTTGATTGTTTTGCCTTTTACATTTGGATACATTTTTGTGTGTGTAAATGGTGTGAGGTAGGGGGTCAAGTCTCATTGGTTCCCACTTGGCTCTCCATTTATTGTAGATCATCTTTACCCTACTGCTCTACAGTGATTCTTATAAATTAAGCATTGGTGTATGTTCCGGGTTCTCTATCATTTTTTATTCCACTCATATAAGTCCTTTGGGTAATAAATATCCTCTATAAAGGAAAGGGGTATAAGAAAATAGGGAAAAGTTTGATTTGCGTGGGTGAAATTTGGTAAGATTAGCTTGGGTTAAAATCTTAACTCTGCCACCTGCTAGTCCTGTGGTACTGGGGTAAGTTGTTTAATTTGTTTGGGGCCAGTTTCTTAGCCTTTATATATAATTGATAGAGGAGCTATAAAGATTAATGACTTATGTGAAGTGTTAGAACAGTATTTGCACATGGTAAGTACTCAATGAGTCAAAACTCATTTGGTGCCAAAACTTAACCTGAATTGATATAAAAAAATCAAATTTATTCCACTTAGTATCAATATCTATACAATTTTACAGTAAAAACATCAATGAGTTTGATTGCAGGGTGCTATCCCTCTTACTTTCTAAAAAATTGAAAGTTCTAAATTCTGAAACAAATCTGGCCCCAGGGGCTCAGTAAGGGTTTTAGGGCCTATATTAGTTCATAGTTATGTAGCCTCAGGCAAACTCTCAGTGGCCTCTGAGTCTCAATATCCATATTAATGACACCATTTGATCTATTAAATTCCACCGTATAGAACAATAGACATAAAAAGTACGCTGTGATGAATTGGAAAAATGATACACATTTCTGATGAATGAAAATATTTTAGAGGTTTGCATGTAAACATTGGTTGTACATTTAAAATACCAAATTGTGGGAGTATTTTGTATCTGAGATGAATTAAAATGGGAAAATATTCTTCAGCAAATCACGTTCCCCTAAAGGGAGAGATTTATAGAGTGATAGACACAGATACAGACACCATGTACCTTTCCTCCACACTTTGTACAAAAAGTAAGACAAAAACTACAATTCAAAACTAGAATCAAACAGCTAGCATTCATAATCTATTAGCAAAATCCATACGCATTAAGAAAAAGTCATCTGGATTGAACCTCTGTTTTGCCTTTTTCATAGGAACATAAAAGGGAGAACTTTCTCTTTCCAAGTTTTTGAAATTTCAGTCTCTCCACGTTAACTCCCTGCTGGGAATCATGGAAAGGCAATTAGGCCTGTGCCCCACATGACAGCCCAGTGTCACTGGGGATGGCCCATCTGATGTATATCCAGTTAAGACCAGCTCCCACGAACCCCCAAGCTCAGGGCAGAGCAGGATGTGAACTAAAAGCCGTGGTTTGCCAAACCTGGGACAAGCTCACCGAGAGAGTGGTGAGAGCAGACCTCTCCCCCTTCTCCAGCTCGGCTAACGCAGCCGTTTCCCATTGCAGGCCAGGTGGGGTCTACAGTGCACCTTGCCCAGGGCTAGAGGCAGAGCTGAGCTCAGTGAACACAGGCCGTGCAGGGGATTCCTGTCAGCGGTGCAGACTCTGCTTTAGAAAGCACTCATCGCAAAGGTGCTTGTTGACCACTGTCTTCCTAGGGTTGGCACTTACGTCCAGCACCCACTAGCAAAACCACTATCCCTCTAATGGCAGCAGCCCAGGCCGATTCAATTTCTCCAATGGCCACTCTCCAAATAGTATGTCTTGGCCATTAGGCTTGTGTAAACAGCACCCAAGGCTGTGGAATAAGGCGTCCCAAAGTTCCAGATGAGTCTACTCAAGGCTTCCCAGCCATCTTCTGCCAACATCAGAGGTTCCCTGTGAAAACTAGAATGGTTATCATGTACTGAGTACTAATTATGTGCCAAGTACTCTTCTGTGTGCTTTAAATCTTTCAGCTTATTTTACTCTAACAGGGACCAGTATTTCCACTTTACACATGAGCAGACGGAGGCAGGGAAAGCAAGGGAGCAGAACAGGGAATTCATTTCGTGGAGTTTGGCCCCAGAGTCAGTGTGCTTAACTGTGGACTCTTCAGCCCCAGAGAAAGCTGGATCCTGCAGTTCCTGGAAGCAGAGGTCTTGCCTTCTTCCCCTTGCACAGTGGAGAGAACTCTTAGTTTTGGAACGAAACCAGCTAGTTCCGATGAAGCACTTCTGCTATTAGTTGTGGGCAGCCGGGCAACCAGTAAGCTGGCCATGTCTTACTTTCCCCAGGTATAAAACCAGGACAGTGCAGCAGAGGGAAAGGGCTCAGCTTCCAGAATAAGCCCCAGGTATGCTACTCCACCAGCGAATCCTGTATCATGTCCCTAACCCCTCAAACCTCAGCTAGAGAGGGAGGCACTCTTAGCCCCAGGGAAGGCTTTTGTTTGCATGTTGGAGACAATGTCTGCTCAGCAGTGCCCAGCACTAACTGGGCGGTAGCTGTTGTGACAAGTAAGCATCAGCATGGGCTCCTGCAGGGACAGGTCCTCCCTCACAGCCAGGACAGAGAAAGACGTAGGCACACACAGGGGCACACAGCTGCAGGGCAAGATGTGAAATAAATGCCCAGGTTTGCCAAACTCGGCACAAGCTCAGGAGACAGTGGCGAAAGCAGCCCCGTTCCCAGAGCCCAGCCTGGACAATCCAGCCCTTTCCCATGGCAGACCCAGAGCCCAGCTTGCCAAGTGCTAGCTGCGGAGTCCAGACTCCCAGGGCAGAAAGCACCCCAAAGACTGATAAGGCCGAACAATCCTGGCTTTGTTTTGGAAGGATTTATCCCTGAGTTTGTAACTGGCTTTTATCTGTGTCTCTACGTCTCTGACCTCTTAGAAGATTCAAGCTCGGGGGAGAAGGAGGCAGGGCACAGGGAGCCCAACTCGCCCCTGATGGCTGGGATCTCGTGCAGCAGGATTTGGGGCGGGGCAGGTGCGCGCCAGCCCAGGCCAGGGCGCGCGGGGCGCCGGGCCACTCGGGCCGTGGGGACCCTCAGCTTTCGCCCCGCAGCCCCGCCGGCCCCCGTCTTTCCTCCGCGCAGCGGGCGAGGTCGCGATGGGCTCATTAAGCAGCCAGGTAGGCAGTGCCCCGGCGGCGGCAGGCGGTCCTGGAATGTGCGAGGGGCGTGATGACAGCGGCCGGCGGCCGCTTTGCGCAACACCTTCGCCATATATACCCGCGGCGCCGCGCTCTACCTGGCGCCGCCACTCCGGCACCTGCAGAGGCAGCGCGGGTGAGTATCGCCGCTTCCTCCTCTCCTCGCTCTTTCAAGAACCTTCATTTACTTCTAATGGACTTAATTCCTTTCGATAGCCCTCCATACTGACCTCAAAGAACTTGGCTAGCTTTGGGTTGTAGAAGAGAAAAAAAATAAGTAAATATACCTTTCCCAAATTGTCAGAGTTTTTGCTCTTAAGGGTACTGCTCGTGCTGTTATTACAACTTTTATTTCTACAGTTACTACTGACAGTGTTACTATTCAGCCACACCAGGGGAGTCTGAAATTATAGATGTCTGGAGAGTCCTGGTTTGGAGAGGAAGGCCCAGGTGACAGAAGGTACCACCTAGGAATCAGGACCACTGGGCTCTTTTTTGGCTGGGTCACTAACTAGCAGTCTGACTTCTTGCAGGTCCCTGTGAGCCCCCGGGCTGCAGTTTTTCCCTCTTTACAGAACGGGGAATGGGACCATCTCAGGATCTTTCCTGACTTGAAAATTCTAGGTTTGTTGTGGCTGCCCTGTGATGCGATGCACGATGCACCCCCCACCCCCAGTGTGACTTCCACGTGCTACGGTGCTTGTTTGCAGAGTTGTTTATCTAAGGTGACTAAGAGACAGTCCGAGTTTGCTGTTCCCATCAGGGCAGGTGGTCATCAGCAAAGTCTGGGGAAAATAGAACCTTCAGTTTCTGTTTTCATAGCCAGAGGGTACCAGGGGTTGGTCTGGGGAGATGACTTACGGGGAGAGGTGCACTTGGTGGCTGGGGGGACAGAGCGTCTTCAGGCCAGAAAGAAGGGGGTGCCTGGGGTGGAGTTAATTCAGGTTCCCTGGGGCAGATGTCTGCCCCAGGTGACAGCCACTGTGGTGCGGAGAGTTGGAATGTCTGGTTTTCCTTCTGAGGAGGTGGCTTTCTCAAACATGTTGGTTACCTGGAGGCAGCTTGTGGATTTCAGCACTTAGAATCCCCTCTTCTCCCTGTTTGGGTTCAGCAGGAAATGTCCATGGTAGCCCAAGTTGCTCTGGCCCTTGTTTGTCTTTTTTCCCTTCCCTCTTGGGCTTGCTGTCCTTTCATTTGTTCTGTGTTGGGTGTTCTTGGAAACGCTGTGTCTGTAGAAGAGACCATTGTTTCGGATTAAGACTGAATTGTTATCCCGTGCCAGCTAATAACGATCTTTTCTCTTTTTGTAATTTTGGAATGGGTGGTAAGAAGGGCATGCTTTGTAAAAGGTTTGGACAAATCGCCCCCTCCCCAAAAGCCCTCCCCGAATCACTCAATCATCTCATTGAAACAAGTCCACACTGGTATGAGGATTGGGCATCTGGGTTATTGCTGTTAGACACAAAGTGGACATAAAAATAGCCTGAACTCAATTTAATAAAGAAAACAGCCTCTCAGGATTGGAGTGATTTGGAATAAACTGGATTTTAATACCATTTTCAACCATCTTCCACCCCGCCATGCTCAGCCACACTCCCAGAATGGGGGTGCCAGTGGGGAGCAGTCTGGACCTCCCAGGGAATTAATTCATCTCAGTGGATTAAAAAATGCAAAAGTGCGAAAAGAGGGCCACAAAAAGATTGCAATATGTTTAAGATGTTTATATTTACAAATTTTACCCCTTTAACACCCCCCATACAATGCCAAATAATTGATATAGTTGCAAATTAATTACAGGATTTGTTTTAAAATATCATAAATACAAATTGAAGGTGCATAGTGGGGATGTGGTTTGGTAATAGGTCCCAAGTTTAAAGTGGTAGAATAATTTTTTTTAAAAAAGAACTAATACATTTCATCGAAAGTCTAAACTCTGGCTGAGCATGTGGCTCATGTCTGTAATCCCAGCACTTTGGGAGTTTGAGGCAGGAGGATCCCTTGAAGGCTAGGAGTTCAATACCAGCCTGGACAACATAGCGGGACCCCATATCTACCAAAAAAATGTCTAAACTAAAATCATCTGTCGATGTGAATTCCAGGCCAATTGCATCCTTGTCTCCTCTGTTTCTGGCACTCCTCCCTTCCATCACTACCACCACCATGTCTTTAGGAGATTATTTTTCCTTGTGATGGCTAAAGGAAGTTAAGGAAAAGTAGCTATTGCCCTCTTGGGGAGTTTTTGAAATCTTAGGTCCTTCTTTCAAAGTACAAGAAAATTTCTTGGGCAGACTGAGCATTGGATTCATGAGTTTGAATTGTCTCTGTAGTGTCATGTGACTTTAAGCAATTAATTTCCCCATGCCTCAGTTTCCCCCTTTAGGAGGAAAATGAGGATAATGTTGGTACCAAAGGATAAATACATGAAGTGTTTACATGGATACATAAAGTGCTTAGAAGATTAAATGAGTTAAAGTTTGTGTACAGGACTTACAACAGTGCCTGGCACAAAGCTCTCATTTGGTGGCTACTGTGTGCCAGAAGCTATCCTGTGTGCTGGGATACAGTGGTCATCCTCCCCGTGCTCGGAAGGCCACCACCTGGCTGGAAAGTGTGTGTGTCCCGGTCCCTCCACAGGCCCATTGCCCTGGTCCTCTCCCCACCTCTTCAGGTGGCCTTGGGTTGCTGTTTCTCTGAGCAGGTCCCGGTTGGAGAAGCCCAAACAATGCAAACGTAGGGGTTGGGTGACTGCCAGGTGCCCCTACATTTCCCTGCTTCCTAAGTCCAAGTCCAAGACGAGCCAAGAAGTTTCTTCTCCTTGGCCTTCACATAAGAATAAGAGCTCCTTTTGTCGGTGGGTGCCCGTGTGGTGCAGGAAGTGGAACGAGGGGTCAGGTGCACAGACAGCTCGATTGCAGAGGCCAGTGCAGGGAGCAGGGGAGCAGATGTGTGGTCACTCAGGACCCAGGGGCCTGATCTCCTTCCTGGGTGTTAGGACAAAGATGCCAAATGAATGACTCTTCCCTTCTGTGCTGCTTCTGGCAGGTAGCAAGAATGTGCTGGGGTGTGCCCCGTGGGAAGGCAGGGAGAAGACACAGCAGGCAACAGCTGCATCAGGACTATGGGGATGGGAGAAAGTCTTTGGAAGGGCCGAGGGCTCCGGGGACCCCTGCAGTTCCCAAGCCTCCTCCCCCAGGAAGCAGGTTCAGTGTCTACCTCGCTCCTGGGAAGAGTGGCCTCAGATTTGTGCTACATCCTCTGTACGCCCCGTTCAGCGCCACCTCCCCTGCACAGCTGAAACTCCTAAAAAGGCTTGGGATAGGCTGAATCCAGTCCCTGGTATGCTGAAGCCTTTGTGGGAACCCAGCAACCTATCATTACGGCATTCATGGCTGGCATTCCCAGCCATCGGAATGACTAAGCAGAGTGACCCCTGCAGACAGGCCAACCCGCCAGCTCTCCCAGAAACAGGCGGAGCCCTCACTGAGGCTGGACCCGAGACCCCTTGCTGCCCTGATGTTTTGATGGGGGCTGGAGGATTCTTCCTCCCTTTGTCCCTGGTTGTGAGGTCTATGGAAAAGCGTCTGACTTTGGAACCAGCAGTCCTGGGTCCAAATCCTGACACTATCCCCAGGTAGCCGTGGGACTCCAGGCTAGTTCCTTAATTTCTCTGTGCCTCAGTTTATTTTCCAGTATGCTGGAAGGGAAAATCTCCTCCCTTGTTACAAGATTTAATGAGGTCACAAACCACAGAGAACACTCCCCTATCACAAAACAAATCACAAAACAAACGTTAGCACCTTTCTCTCACAAGCTTCGGATTCCTTTATGGAACAAATATTTACCGAGGGTCTACTACCGTACTGAGCAGCGCACACGAAGAGCTTGTGGTCTAGGGCAAAGCGCAGTGTAGCCATTCGTTGCTCGTGATGCAATGCATTTCCAAAGTTCTGAGTGTTTACTCTGCCAGGTGCTGGGCTCGGGCCTCCCGACACTTATTAGTCAATTAGTCCCCGCGACAGCTCAGTGAGGGAGATGGTTTTGTCCTCATTTTTGAGTTGATGAAGCCGAGGCTCAGAGACTCGGGCCGATGAAGAGCCAGCCCTCGCCCCACTTGCAGCGCTCTCTTGGCACTGTGTGCCAGGCACGGTGGCATGGGCAGAGTCGGCAACTGCAGGGACCTGGAGGAGTCCTTGGATGGTTGCCTAGTCCCAGGGTTGACCGGGGCATTTGCTGCAGGTCTTCCCTTTGTTCCAGAGCTCCCGAGCAATAGCAGCAGTCTCTCCGCAGGGGGACTCTCTCTGTGTCACCCCGCAGAGAGCTGGGGCTTTGCTGGCTGGGAGGCCAGCTGCATGGAGACTGTGCCCGAGCTCTGGAGCGTGGTGGTTGGGCGACAGCCAGGTGCCCTACATTTCCCCACTTCCTAGGTTCCAAGAGCTGTGGGGGCGGAGAGGGTCAGGAAGGGAGTGACTGGCGATTTCAGAGAGCTCTGGGCTGGGTTGGACAGTTCTCCTGTCCCCTGGCTGCCTGCCTGAGAGGGGACCGTGCCCAGTGTGTGAATCCGTGGCTTCGTCTCTTATCTGCCAGTATCAGCACAGGAAACGCCCCACAGGTGACGGTGGTGTGCATGAGTGACCAAAGAATGAAGTACCGAGTCGGGGAAATCAGTGATTGCTTCATCAGGGAAGTGTTTATAAAGAGGAAACTTGTGACAAATGGTTGAAATCGGAACAGGGAAAAGAAAGACTTCCAAGAAGGAGAAAGAGAGCCATTCAGTAGAAATTTGCCTTTGCCTTTTGGTGGCACTAATGGTAAATGAGGCCGTGGCGGTGAATGGAGCCAGCGCAGGCCTAGTGCAGAGTAGGCATTCAAGGCATTATAGCCGGTTGAGTCCCTGGCCACCGTGTCCTCTTCCCTCTTGTACAGTTCGGTGCAAATGGGCGTCCATCCATTGCTTGTAGTATTATTATAAACTACTTGGATGTTGGACCTTGGAGATGTCTGTTTCTGTATTCACTAGACACTTACAGTTCCACCCTTGAAAGAAAATGATTCTCACAAGTCATAGAAATCTAGTCACAGAAAACCTAATTTAAATAATAGGCAAAGAATCATCCTTCTTACATTTTCTGCTGATAG